ACACACACACACACACACACACACACACACACACACACAGAGGGAAAGGAATTTAGACCCTTCAGAGAGTCAAGGCTCCCATGTTCCTGGGTTTGACATGAGGGGCAGGGAGAGAAGCTCAGATCCCCTCAGAGGGGCAGCCCAACTCTTCAGCAAAGAAGAGTTCTTCCAACACTGTTGAAACACTTCGGCAACTGATTCTTAGCAGTAAGACAATAACTTAATATAACAATCAATTTAAGACAATTATATGTTTAAGTCTCACTTTAGAGAAAATTTTCAGTTTGTATTCTGGTCACTTTCCAGACCACCAGGGTAAGTTAAATGAGGAGAGAAGCTGCTAACAGAAAGAAATCTCATTTTGTTGCACAGCTTCTCCGGATGAAATTGAAACCACAGGGAAACCACTGGATGAGGCTTTAAAGGAATATTCCTACCAGAACCCATGTTGGGGTGGGTGATCTCCAGTAAATTTATTAAGCATGCATGTAGATTATTTTGTTTTAATGTTTTCTCTATGGTGCTTTTATTTTAAGAATAAAATATGCTTGCTTAGAACTGTGAGATAGCTTAACTGTGGACAGCTACACTATTAGTGTTTGAAGAGAAAGCAAGCAGGTCTGTTTAGAAAGTCTGTGTTGCTGGGAATAACAGTGAAGGCAGGGAACTGTTCAGACTGAAGATACCCATCGAAAGGGAGAGAGATGTTTCTACACCAGAAAGGCAATGGGTAGGGAGCCGTAAGCCTGAGCATGGGTGCCCTTGCTGAACCACTAAGGGGAATCAGGTGCACTTGCCCTGACCTGTGACTTTTCAGCTTGGAAAAGAGACAACTAAGGGGGGAGATGATAGAGATCTATAAAATCATAACTGGTGTAGAGAAAGTAAATAAGAAAGTGTTATTTACTCCTTCTCATAACACAAGAACTAGGGGTCACCACATGAAATTAATAGGCAGCAGGTTTAAAACAAAAGGAAGCATTTCTTCACACAATGCATAACCTATAGCTCTTTGCCAGAGGATGTTGTTCAGTCCAAGACTATCATGGTTCAAAAAAGAACAAGATAAGTTAATGGAGGACAGGTCCACCAACAGCTATTAGCCTGGATGGGCAGGTGTGACACAGGGTCAGAAAGGGTTAAGTAACTTGCAGGCTAAATGACCCTAATTCAACCTTCAAAGATATATTAGAGATGTATATAAATGGTAATTAGGGTTATTCCTTATAAATAGCTAATATAGCTTTGTTAGATACACTAGAGCTTTGAAATGTAAACGTGCATAGTTAAAGAATGAGAGGTAATACTAATTGTATATGTTTACTTATATCTTGTTAGACAGGAACCATCTGTTTACATGGTTGTTCCTGTATCTGTTAATTCAAAGATCAAAAGGGAATACACCTCTACCCCAATATAACACGACCCGATATAACACGAATTCAGATAGAACGCGGTAAAGCAGCGCTCTGCGGGGCGGGGCTGTGCGCTCCAACAGATCAGTGCATCAGCGTGTCTGGCTCCAACACGCTGCTCTGAGCGGTGTGTTAAGAGTGCCGTGCCGGGGCCGAAGGATTGGATAAGGGGCAGAGGGTCTCAGGGGGTAGTCAGGGGACAGGGAGCGGGGGGAGCCACAGCTTGAGGAGGGGAGCTGCAGTGCAGGGGAATGTCACACGGGCTCCAGCTGGTGCCGAGAAGTTGGGGAAGACTGGTCCATGGGGGGAAGTTGCGGATCCAGGGCAGGGAGAGGTGCCCATCCTAGACGGCGCCGTGCAGGTGCCCCTGTCCCGGCGCTGGAGGACTCGGCACACAGTGGGCCCAGATGGCAGCAGCGCCGGGCGGGCTCTACGGGTCCATAGCATGCCGCACTACCTGCCCGCAGTCAGGGGTTCCATGCGCCCCGGCGAGCAGCTGGCTGCGGCGTCCTCACTGGAGATGGGCTGCGTGGGGCTCTGCGGAGGAGGAGAGATGGGCTGAGCATGGGCACGCACAGCAGGAGCCGCCCGATGGCTCACCCTCCCCCGGCACCGCGTGGGCACGAGGCGGGGATCAGGCGCACGCAGGCACCTCAGGCGAGGCTGCCTGCCATGCTCCCCCTCGTGGGCTCAGCCGCCGCGCTGGGCTGGGCGCACTCCACGGACAGGGCAGCAGCCGCCAGGCCAGTTCCCCCTGTCCCGCCCCCGCGGAGCTCACCCAAGCTGATGTGGTCGAGCAGGTGTGAGCGCTTCCATGTGCCAGCTCCCCGGGTCCTAGCGGCCGTCCCGCTGCGGCCCATGGCTCAGCATGGGAGTCCTGGGGGTGATTAGGAAAGGGGAAGAGGGGGAGGGGGTTCTGTGGAGTCAGTCAGGGGGCAGGAAGTAGGTGGGGGTTGGATAGGGGGCGAGTCTATTTGCTGACTATTAATAACAGAGATGCTCAAGGCCAAAGCAAGTTCAATATAACGCGGTTTCACCTATAATGCGGTAAGATTTTTTGGCTCCCGAGGACCGCGTTATATCGGGGTAGAGGTGTTTTAACATTTAGATGAAACATGGGTGTGATAATGTCATTGTCTATATTTCACTTTGAAATGTGTAGTACATTTTCTATGAACTGCTTAATGAATAATTATCCTGTGATTCCTGATGATGCTTAGGAAAGAGAAGATTACTTCAAAAGTCTACTGTTCACCCAAGGACTGCATGCTGACAAGAGGTTGCAAAAAATCTCTATAAAAACTCTTGGAACCTGATCCTTTCATCTCCAATGTGCTTGTGCTTATGCTTTGTCAGGAGACGCTTGAGCCACAAGACTGAGGTCTCTGATTTCATTTTGGATCACCCTGGTATTGAACATTGGATTGAACCTATGGACTAATTCTGAAAACTCTGCAACTCTACAGCTCATCATCTCTATTATGAGACTGACCTAAGAACTATATTCATATCTGTACGTATAATGATCTTTTAACCAATACTCAACCCTCTCTTTTTAAACAAATTTTAGCTTAGTTAATAAGAATTGGCTGTAAGCATATATTTGGGTAAGATCTGAAATATTAATTAAGTTGGTGGGTAATAACAATGAGGAGTCCTTGTGGCACCTTAGAGACTAACAAATTTA